AAGTTAGTTTGACAACTACCTCGATTTCTGCCATCTGATCATGGCACATCGACATTCATTTTAACTTTTGGCCTTACACGGTAAAGTCATGGTAGTCTTCGGTACAAGGTCACATTATGCATTTCAGAAAAAAATGTATCTTGGTAATTGTCGTTGTTGTTTAACTGTCGTTTACTGTATAATATCCATTTTGTCTTTAAAATCCTACATTAGAACCACGGTTAGAACACGATACAATTTTCGCAAAAATTAGTAAAGTGTTATATATAAGAATGGTAGATCTCGGAACTATTGTACATGCAATCAGCAGTTGTAAGGAAATAGATTTCTGCTTCCCGGGATGAAAACACTGAAAGAATGAATTAATTTAATTTTCCAAATGGGCTAGCAAAAATCCCCTAGGCTCTGAATCTTTATGTGCATTCAAGTTAGCAATAAAAATCGCATTATTTGAGTTGGTTTTTCTGGGGTACACCTACCGTAACACTGATGTACAGTACCCTAATTCAGGGCCATATCAGTTTGAGGTTCTCTTCATTGTCTTCGAACATGAACCAAATCTTTGAGAAGATTCATCGGAAAATCGCAAAGTTGAAGCTTCCGAAGGCATATACTGTCGTGATTGTGTTATCATGGTCTTGTGTTACATTGTCGGGTAAGGAAGTTACCTTACAAAGTTTTTAAAGCAATCTTCATTGATATGGTCAGCCTTTTCTCTGCTGTTGCTAGCTGACGAGGGTAATTTGGGAAATCCAAAATTCTGAAAGAACTGAAACTCTAAGAAAGCCTTGTTAGCAAAGCTGAGACAACGGTAAATAACGCATCTCTCTGATTGAATCTCTCACCTCTTTGGAACTTCATACGAGAGGAAAATGTTTCGAAACACCATATTTTTTGAATATTATGTTCATTAGACCGTTCCTGGATCATCTCCTCCCTTCTCACTCTCTCACTGTCTCTGAAGATTTCCTCCTAATCAGCAAAATTGAGGCTAAAATCATCGCGCACATAGGAACAGATAAGTTGTTTTGACAAAATGTCTATAAAGGACGTTCCGTGTCACCCAAGTTGCTCCCAAAATTACAGTTCTTTATCTTGAGACGGATGAAGTGTTAGAGTAACTAGAGCTTTTGTAGCCATATTCAAAGCAATCCTCAGTCATCAAAACTTTGGTCATACACGAATGAAACATATATGTTATTTATTTTGTATGTATATGTTATACAGCAAGTTAAAGTGATTTTTCAGACGAAACAAATTTTCCAGAGTCACAAAAAAATTCTTGGAGTATCATAGCCTTGAATCTGAAGATGTGTTAACTTCACTCCATCTTATGTAGCTTGCACTGTTCAATCTGACAGTAAGTTAATGAAATCGGCATCAACCCACTGACGACGATGTGGACCACCGATGGCCCATGCCTCTTGCAGAAGCGTATCCTTTCCAGGTCTAATATTTCCTTCAATTTTTTGCACTCGGAGCAACTAACAAGGCTCTTGGGACCTGTAGCAAAGTCTACACTTGTTAACAGAACAATCCTGCATCTCGCAAATAACTGTAATAAAATTCAACGGCTCAAAATCGTGCATTATCGCGTCATTCCTAGCGCCGCCACGCAAAATCAGGTGTCGTCGTCGATTGGTTAATAGAAATCCGCAGAATTTAGGTAATGTGAGAAAATCTGAGAACCTAGTTTTTCAAATATAAGTGAGTGAACCAGCGGTGGTCCCAGGATTTTCGTTCGTATTGCGAGAAGTGGGGGAGGGGGGGAGGGTGGAAGTGCGACAAAATTCTTTTCCGAATGAATGTGCGCTCCGAAAATCTTTTTGAGATGCTTTCCAAAACTTTTGAGGGCCCATGGTCTCGAAATTCTAGAATTTTGACGATGCAGTCTTATTTTACCTCAAAAATAAATCTAATCAGTTTTACTTCAAAAGTAGTTGTGAGGTTGGTCACCGATGTATTCACATGATAGAATGCTAGGAAAATTTGAGCAGAGTGGGGTATGGGAGCGGATGGAGGCGTGCGAACCTTGAGATTGTGTATCCTCCATTCCACAAATGTGTTCTGTGATGATTCGATTTCCTCGATTATGACCGCTCAAATTAAATTTTGCATTATTTTCAAGAAATTGGCCAGATATAACAGTAGAGTTCTGGCTGTATGTTATGATAAATCTCAAGTGATACTATTAAACTTCTCTCAAAGTCAGAGTTTCGTAGGTCTAGGAAAGAAAAGAAATTTGACATCCGCGCAAAGTTTTGCTTGATACTCATGATCGAGTGGACCGACTCTTAGAGAATTTTCCTTATTGTTGTTTGATCTCGTGTTTTCTGTCCAAGATGCAGAAAAAGTTGTCAATAATACCTTTGCTAGTGAGAATTCTTGATTACAGCATCAGAAACGAATCTTGTAATGAAAGACAGGCTAAATTTAACCTTAGATCGCACCCAAGTAGTGATAAATGCGCAGTGACTTATTCATATAAATCATACAAATACCCCTTGATATAAGCAGAAAAGGAAGATCTGGATAGCGGATATATGGACAGAGGAACTAAGCCAAAACGGCGTTTTTTCTTTCATTTCGCGCTATGAAATATCATAAATCTTCTTGAAAAATAAGGGCGTAGTAGTTATTTATGATCATGTTGAGAGCTGTCACGTTAGAAGTTATGAAAAAGCTGGTTCGGTTGTTATGCACAGCGCGAAATGTGAATAGAATGTCCTTCGTTTACTTTTTAACCAATGAATTATCTTAGTCTGAAGGGTTCCTCCATATTCTGTATGTGCTGCCTTTTAAAGTATTTTGGGGCACTCTGTCCAATATGAGCTTGTGTTTTCCTTCCAGAAGAAAAAAAACCTAGAGCCCAGCCTGTGACTTCTGGGAAAACTAAACGTCAAAAAACTTTTGTATATGTCAGAGTCAAAATCTTTCCATACTTCCTTGATTTTCACCACATCTTTTCCGTCAAGATTATGCTTCCAAATGAAATCACTTGTAAAAAGAACAAAGAGTACTGAAAAGAAGGAAGAGCTACAAAGAAACGAAGAGACTTTGTTCTGAAAAAACCATAAGTTTTGCGTCTATCCCAAGATCTCAATGTGAACTCGAAAAAATTGCACTTTATACAATTAATTCACTATTCATAATAAATACTAATAATAATCAAAATGATAGCAATAATGATAGCAAGTGTATCCCTCTAAGCAATAATTTTGACGTTAGCTTTTCAGTCTGCTTCTATTTGTTTTTCTTATCTTTTTGCTGGAGGAGATTCCATTGCAAATCTTATTGCTGTGGTTCTTTCATCCTATTTGTTGTCCATGAATCTACATTAGACTGCAAATAAGGGCAGAAATCTGTAGCAAATCACATAAGGCATTGAATTTCTCTGTTCTTTCCTGCTTTCGCAGGTTGACATGGACCGTCCAACATGCATTAGGTTGAGCCGAAAGTTCTGTCGAAGAAAATCTAATTTGTTCCATTTTTCCGCTTTTTGCAAGAAAATGATTTTACAGGAAATCATACTTTCTATGCAACTCTGAGGCTGGCTAGTAATCTCTGATTGCAGATACAAAAATGAAGAGGAGATCTTCCGGGTTACGGTATTTTGGACCGAGCTCATCAAAAAGCTAAAAGCAAGAAGCTAAATCCGAAACAGTTATTATCATAACTTCCAGGACATCCTCTTTCTATCCTAGTCAGATTTGTGTGCTGGTCGAGTTTGTGTAGAAAGTTCTGATGTTTCAGAGAAATGCTGAATGACACTTTGTCGTTTTGTAATGTTTTTTTTTCTCAAAAATCATAACTTTTCATAGAAAAGCTCTATTGGCACATACGTTCCTTAACTGAAAATGGATGTGTTTTGAACGTATGTGTATGATCAGGGTTTTATGGAATAGCTTATGGATTGTTGACAGGCTTGCTCAAAACGATCAAAACTCTGTCGATTTTTGATATTGGGAACATTACAGTTTATTCAGAAACGTCAACCAATTATCTCATATTACTAAGAGTAAAAATTGATTAATTTCTTAAGGTTTTGGTAGTCCGTTGTTTACTTCACTGTCTCATTATTCAGACCTTAAAAATGTATAAAAATGGCAATTTTTGGGAAATCGAAAAATCACATTAAGTTGAAACTACATACCCCATTTGTAATTCTAGAAAATCAATGAAAAGGTGCTATAAAAATCTTGAGCATTACAACTAGCAATATCGTGAAGACTATCAGTATTTACTAGTACTGACTCAAGCTCATTCCTGTTTCAGTGTTGACTCCAGAACTTCCAAATCTAAATTTTGAAAACAATCTTGGCTTTTCAATCTGTTTCCTCTCAGAAACTGATTATTCTGCAGTATCCTCACAGCAATGAACTCTTTTTGCACGGGAATTTGGAACTGGCGTTGTTTCACTTAAAAATTTGAGTTCCTTTTTGATAACAGAAAATTCAAAACATTCGAGTCCTACTGTATCGGAACAAATTCTTACAATATTCTTTTCAAGAACATTAGCAGTGCTTCAATAATTAGCGCCTACCATTTTCAGTCATGATTAAGCCAAAACGTGAATTATTTGTTTATGAAATTGGAACAAGGCATTTGTCGCTTTGTGGAGGGAATGATTTATGAAATTTGTAAAGAGTCTCTTGAGGGATCTCTCTGGCAGCATAGTGCATTTTTCACATATATGGCGCTGTCTCACAGACAAGAAAGCCCTTTTCCTTACATTGTCCCACCACTGGTAAAAAGGCCACAAAAATTTTGTAAGTACGAATTTTAGCGAAAATTTTGCAAAAAAAAGTGCCGGCGCTTCTCATCACGCCTCCGCCGCCAACGTTTCGCACTCGGAAAGGGGTCATTATCGCCAGTTTTCATTACGGCCAATGTAGAAGACAATTTACTTTGGTCATTATATGAGCTCTCACTCTTCATATGGCAACTCCCACTGCACTTTTGATGTTCGGGTGGTTCTCACTTTGCTCTATTCGTGCTTCGTCGCTCGCCTCAAGCAGCCACTGCCCGTCCAAGTGTTCAAAATCTGATTTACAGGACCCAGAATGAGACAGTCAACAATTCTTGTTCTCCTTTTCTGGATGATCTCACTTGCTACAACACAGTTCATCAACGAGCTCAATCGACCTGAATTGTAAGTAAAATTTTCTTTGAAAAAAAGTAGAATAATTAACCGAATGACCCTTTTTCATGGGAGAAATATGTTCTGTATTGGCTTAGAAAATTTCAGCCAAAAAGGATTTCGTCAGCTAGCATTTGCTGTACGACATACTCTACGGAAATGGGCATCCGATACTGCTATGAAGTTAATCTTTCCACTTGTTGTTGTATAAATTTCGATAAATAACAACTATTTACAAAGTTAGCACTTATGTAGAGGAGGAGAACTGCATTCTCAACGAAGAATTTAGAATTTTCTTCTCGTTTCCCTTTAAGGTAATTTCTCAGAGCTTTTTTGCACAAATTCCCCACCGAATATGCTGCGAGTTTTTTTACAATCAAATTTTACTACTATAGAAATTAGAAAATCCTCCACCACCAGTTCTCATTACTTTTGGTATGACTATTATAACTCATCTTTTTCGAAAAAAAAATCTAACACAACGGAAAAATCAAATTAAACGGAACAAATCGTAGAATAACAGCTCTACTCCTTTTCGCTAAAGTAAACTTTTTTATCGAGATCGTTATCTGAGAAAAGTGACGGTCAAAAAGCTTTTCAAATACTTTTTTCCAATCCATACTTTTTGTGTCAGAACCCGCTAGAATTATTTGAACTAATAAAATCAAACTCTTTTTGTATAATCATGGGTCTTACTCATTTTCTTCCTTTTCGACGAAGCTGAGGGATCATTGGAATTTGCAAACGTGCTCTCATAGTGGGTTCTTATACGATAGCGTACCCTAGCAATCAAAAGTTCGTTATATGACCATTTTTGAAGAATCGTATTGAAAATCTAGAGTAAGACAACGAGTCTGGGGCAAAAACTGAACTTTCGCTTGAAAAGTGTGTACTATATCAGCAGTGGAAACATTAAAAATACTTTTGTGGGATAATTAACGATTTATAATTCACCAAAAAATCTCAATTGTTGTTTGGAACCTACATTGTGCTTCCAAATTTTCCATCGCCAAAAATTTCATTTTTCGTATGCTCTTCAGTTTGAAGTGGAAATGTGAAAAAATTACTTATTTTTGCAGCTCAAGCACATTATGTTTGACGCATTCACTTAGCACAGGCAGATGTAATCCATCTACAAAATGAGATTGCATAAGTGAATGACGAGCATAAATCATGAATTGGTCTGGCTCGTTCTCGAGCAAAAAGTTTTTTTGATAACGGTCTGGTCTTTCTGAGTTTTTCTTATTTTATTGTGAATAATCTGCACCTCAAAAATTGCATCTTTAATTTATTATCTGTTTTTTATCGCACAAAGACCTAAAAATTGAAAATAGCTAAAGTTTCCCAATTTGATTTTTCTAAAAAAATTTTGAAGAATGCGGGGCCGAAAGATTCCTTTCCAAATGAATTTACTGATATGTGGAGCATAATTTTCTTCCATAGTTTCCTTTTACAGTTTTAATTCTTTTGCTGCATTCGTGTAAGTTACATTAGAGTGCTGGAAGTGGAAACCCTTTCCGATATATCTACAACAAAATTGTTTCCCACCTCATGAAGATTTGTGGAAAAATATGACAATTTTTAAACAGAAGAACTATAAAATTCAATGCTCTTCCTTGGTGAAAATGCTCAAAATTAAGAGAAATGATGAAAAATTTTTTTTCATGATCAAATTTAACTCTTTGTAATCAAGCAAATTTCCGCCCATTAAAAACTAGTATTTTAGCCTGAGGCCAGATGTTCAATTCCTGAAGCGAAGTTCGTTGTCGAATATGATGAGGCTGGGTAAACGCGACTCGAAACGTGGATCGCTTGGAAATTTAATGAGGCTTGGACGTTGAAGTCGACTGCAAATGTTCTGAAAAAAGCAGTGATCTCTCTGGTTTCTCATCTGGTGTATGAATTGCCTATTGAAATGTCGAATAAATGGTTAGAGTATGAAAATGATTGAAAGAAATATTTTAGTTGAGAAATTCAGCAGGTTCACTGTATGATTTTTTTTTTCATAGTAAAGGTTCTATTTTAGTCAATTCAAGATAATTTTGTGGAATGTCAAATGAGTTACTCTTCATGAATTCAACATTACCAATATATCCCCGGACATAAAAGCCGGAAAACTAAAGTACTTTTGGGTTGAGGACCGTTTTTTGATCTTATATATAAAGCTGAATGTTTGTTTGTATGTCTGTCTGTCTGTCTGTCTGTATGTCTGTCTGTCTGTGAGCATGCTGTGGGGGTGATCAGCATGCTCGATTACACCCCCTGCCAAATTCCAGCCCTCTAGCTCAAATTTTGCAAAAAATCGATAAAATCGATATCGATCGATAACGAAAAGTGATCTGTGACACCCGGCGGGGCTCGAAGTGTATGTGTGCCAAGTTTGGTCCGGATCGGTTAAGAAATGGAATTTTCTATTCGGAACATACGGCGGAGCCGGGTAAGCCAGCTAGTATGCTATAAACTTGCAAAATCCTATCTTATCGGCTTTGCAAATTGGAAACGAGAAACTTGAATGTCTTCGTACAAGTCTTCTTGGAAAATATAGCCTCTTATAGTTTCCCCGTCTTTGAGCCATCCGAGAAAGAGGCAGGGAAGGCAGCTAGTTGAGTACTTAGCAATAAAAATTCAGTTTTAAAAATAAAACTTATCATGTAATCTCTATACTAAAAATATCTACTGCAGATTTATTCAGAGGTAAGGAAGGTTTCCCTTTTTGAATTAGTGAGATTTTAGGTATGATGCTTATGAGCTGCAAGTCAACAAATTCCTCAAAGAAAGATGTTCAAGCATAATTGAAAGAAAAAAACAAACTCTTATTTTCAAAAATTACTGTTGCTCGGTGTGCTCAGCACCCCTCGCCCTTGCTCGTCCGCCTGACACAACAACCCTTAACCCCTGGACCTTACGCGTCTACGCCTAAGTGCATTTTCAGGCGCGTCTGCTCGACGCCTTCATCCTGGTATCCGCACGATTGAACAGAGATCACAAAAGCGCGACTAGATTAGATTACGAATATAACATATGCACAACCACTAAAGAAACTACTAGAAACCGTAATAATAAGCCGTCTTGTCCCGTGCTGACGATGCCCTATAATCGCAATCTCCAGAGTTGTTGTTTCGCGCTCGTCCACCCGGGCGGCCGCAAAACCCAAGCCCTTGCGGAAGGCTCCACCCCTCTCCATTACCGCTAGTAATTCCTTACACAAGACAAACCATAATGTTTAGCTGCGCGGCCCATAACCATGAAGATGACAGGGGCTCAACCGCTCGAAATCTCCATTTGCAAGAGCTAGAAGGGGCTGCCAGCGCGAATGATATCATAAAAAATCAATAATACGAACTCGGAGAGGCACAGACCGCGTTGTGCGCGCCCTTATATACCCCATGACTTGGCAACACGCCCAGCAGGAGAGGTCCGGGCGCGAATTACCGTATCGCACCCGGTACGTGGCAACTAGCGCTCCCTGCCTCCCGTCGCGAGGAGTGGCTTGCATCGCGAGCCGCGACGGTTGCTGCGAAATACGAAGTTATACTGTTCCTAAGTTTCAAGATAAACAAAAGCCTGAGCCTGAATCTGATTGTTTCTAGATCTGTTTAAATCTGCGTTTCCATCGTTTTTCAATTTTTATAAATCAGCAATTAATCAAATAAAATGTCATCAAGTAGCTAACACATGTAGCAATATCTGGAGCCAAATATATAGTGCTATTCATAGATGCTAACAGACCATCACGAACGAGCTTACGACTTTTGTTTGCGTTAAGAGCCTCCAGCCTTTAGCAAAGAACGAAGGACTTCGGCTCTAAACAAGAAGCGCAGCAAACCTGACTTTGTCACTACCTGGAAAATCTTCAGAGTGCTTGTGCTTTCCAAAAGTGCGACTTAGCGCTTTTCGAGCTGGTTTGATACAGCTAGTTTAATTTAATCTTCTACTTCGCCTAACTAGAACTCTATTTTAAACATAAGCTGTAAAATGCTCTGTTTATAAAAATTAAGGGAAGTGCGTAGATAAGTCAAATATGAGAACTGAATATCCTTTTATGGAGCAAGCATAATCATAGCGTTGTGTTGAGCACAATTTCTTCGTTTGATTGAGATTTTAATCGGTGATTTGAGATATTCTAGAGAAACTCACACAAAGCCTTCATTCATACCAAAATTATGAAAAGGAAGTAATTTCCTTCTGGAATTTCGAGCTATGTAATTTTTAAAATTTTCGTAGCTAGGAGTAAAATCAAAGAAAAAGTTTTGGAATTCTGCCCTGTTTTCTAAATTCAGATAATTTATAAGCCTTGCAGTCTTCAGAAAAACTGGTACAGATTATCAGCAAGAAGGACCAGGAAACATCTCAGCGCAATCAAAATTTACCCCGTTAACCGTTTCCTTCCGGAAAGGTAAGGATTGTTGCACAAACATCTTTTATCATAACAAATCTCTTTCGAGCTTGCCCTACATCCGAAAAAAACTAATTTCTAGAAATTTTCTAATTGGGGATGTTTAGCTCATTGCACAGACTGGCTATAAAAGGCCTAGATCTTGTTAAAATATAATTGCTGCGGCGCAGACAGGGTTTTTGCACTTTTGGGGAAGATAAGCATAGAACAGTCGATTTGAACTCTTACGCATGCCTATCATTCGGGCGTAACTCAATTCATACAGAGTACAACAGCAATTAAAAGTGGAGTAAGCTCACCACCAAGCCTTCCACATAACTCATTGCGTGAGAGTTGGAAAAGGGTTCGTAGGGAAATGTAATTTCACCTTTCTTAGGACAACCATTAAACAAGTAACTTCAAGGATGTCATTTTAGGATTTTTTAACTTCTCCTCAAGTGCATCGTTGTCATTGACAGAAAAAAGTAGGTGTTTTACTCTACATAGCAATCATTTCTTGGAAAAACCGAATAAGTTCTTAATCATTTCAGTATTTTGTAAATAGTACCACGAAAAACATTTAACGGTTTACCTTTACAAATTCGTTGGAAAAACAAACATTGATTATTGGGATTGTAACACCTAGAGGATGTTTTGTTATGTTGTGTCGTAGCTTCTTACTCTTGTCAGCCTCATTGTATCCTACTTAAACACCACCTCTTGTTTATTCCCGCTTTGTAGTGTTTTCTTTGAGTTGTTTGTGGAACAGTTGGCGTTCGCGCCTTTAGCATCATTTGATCTCATCGATTGTGAGCATTTGGCAATATTTATTCTATTTCGCAATATTTAAAGCGCTCGCACGGTTCATTTTCGCCTTGTCATTCGTTTCCATTTTTGGGCGATGAAAGGATCTTGATATCTATTTGTGTGGAAGGCTGAATGCTTACCGAATTTATCAACTAAAGATCCTGACATTTGGGGGCAGAATAACCTTGAAAATAAGCGGAAGCGTCCAAAACTTATCGCAGCCAGAGCTCTTGGGGCGTTCAATCCCCACATTTGACGGTCGCAACAGCGGATCAAACCTCAAACAGCAGTCAGGTTCAACATTCATACTCTCTGCATTCAGTAGTTCAAGCAGTGATTTAGCCCTGCTAAAAGCACACCACGAACATGTAGTCATCAACATGTCTCGCGATCCTTGTCAGATGAATGCCGTCGTCGTGTGGCTGAATTTGACTAAACACGACGACGGCATTTATCTGACAAGGATCGCTGGACAATTGCCAGAATGAATGCTTTGCAAGAGCTGCACGATGTTATCGGTGCGACCAACAGAGAAATATTCTGAAAAGTGCAGGCTGAAAGTAACCGTGGCCTTCACGAACAGATGAGCAAGACTTGTAGCGACATCACCTCGTGGCGAACAGGAATGGAAGCACATCTCATGAAGCAGCCTATGCTAGCCATGTCAAGGTCAGAAGATTCCACAAGCGCTGCTTGCAGAACCCGCACTAGCAATCGGAATAAGACCTCCTGCTAATAAATGGAGTGTTACCCACCAGCAGTTAGAAACAGTAGTGAGTATGGGAATTTTGGATATCATCGTCGAATATATAAATGAAGATAATGACATAGACGCGGTAAAAGTAGAAAAATTCGATGAAGAAGCCATACGCCATGCAGTAAAGTACGTTGTTCTTGTTTCGTTATGAACAAAGAGGATTCAAACAGTCATTGAAGGTGAAAAAGGATCTCCATTTGGCGGACCAGACGCATTTACGAATGCAGTCGTGAAAGACCAGTCAGACAGGATACTTTTGCACACCTTATTAAGTATGCGTAGGGGCGCCACATGTCTAAGTGTAGCCTTGTGACACCTAGAGAGATATTTCGTCTTTTTGTTGCATTCTGTTATAGTTTTTACTCTTGCCATTCTAGTCATGTCTTACCTGAGCGTGCTGTCTTCTTTTCACTTTCTGGTGTTTTATTGTTTTGTGGATCAGCTGGTGTTTGCGCCTGGTTGCGCACACATTTGGCGCTGTTTCGCAATATTTGAAGTGCTCCCACAGTTCATTTTCGTTTCGTGTTATTTTCTGTAATTCGCCGATGAAAGGCTTTTCCTTCTGGTGTCTATTCGTGTGTGGGGAACTACGGTTCTCAATGCTATATCAGGTAAAGTTCCTGCCACTAGTTTCTCGCAAATATGTGTTCGACAATTGTACATAAAACCTTATAACTAATTGTAGCCTGAGTAAAAAAGGTCAATAAATCAGCATAATGTCAACAGTATGGACAGAGCGTGTACCATGAGATTATTGGTTTGTTCGGCAACGAAATGGTTATTTGAATTATCCTCATCAGAATAGACCGTTACTGTTACTAGACTTTGAATCAGAGTTGCGATAGGGAGCAATGGATCTTACCCCCCTCAAGTTTGAGCCAGAACCCGGATGTTCCCCTTCATCTGAGGCTGATTTGGGAAGGTATTCTGAGAGTGAATCATTAAAAAGCTTTGGAGATTCACCCCAGTCGTGGAACACATCAACCACGTCTTATATATAA